ATTATAGACCCTATGCACATAGGGCCCCAGAGTAAGTTCAGGACCAGCCTTTCCTTCCAGGTTACAATTTGATTTTTTTTAAATAATTGTCAGTGATGGATCCTCAATACTCTCCTATGTCTGTGCTTTTCAGATCAGTTTACAAAAGAGTATGAAGTACAAAATTTTATTTAATTAATTATTTAATATATTATAATTCCATATTCAATGGTAGTAATTTATGAAATACAGCTGTGTTTTTAAATCAATTCTGAATTGGAAAAATATTTGTAGCACCTCACAAATAGGTAGGGTGAAAGTTAGAAATTTTCCTCTGCTTAGAGGAAGAAAGATCTGAAATGGTCTTTCTATAGAAACTGAAGTCTGTTTAAATCTAGCCCACTGACTGGGCCCAATAATTTGTGTATGATAGGGTGCTCATATGTTCCACTCTGACTGTGGCAGGAGTCTTCAGATCTCCACAATCTGAACACAATTATTTAAGAGATACAAAAATCCAGTCATTTAGATGAAGAAACTGCTTCATTTAGTGATCCACAGGGAGTCTTTAAGGGGAGAAGTGGATGTGATAACTAGTAGATCAGCTGTGTTTAATTTTTGAATTAATGTCGGTGTTTTTTCAAGTGTTGCAAAACAAGAGAATACTAAAAGAGGAGGGGAGGAGGTCTGAGTTTTGAGTAAAAAGGCTACAGAATAGTCCCGTGAGATGGAGAATGAGAACTGTTCTCAGTTTATTACATGTTGTCTCTGCCATTCCTTCTTCCTCAGGATAAGAGCTCCTCAAACCTTTCCTCTGCTCCAGTGTGGGGTCCTTTCCGTGGAACACAATCCTCCATGGACTTCTCCAATGTGAGTCCTTCCCTTGAGCTGCTGGTCTTCATGAACTGCTCCAGTGTGGGCTCCTGTCTCCACAAACCCATAGGTCCTGCCTGGAGTGCAGGTTTCCCACAAGCATCTCCCTGCTCCACTGTGGAGTCCTCCACAGGCTGCAAATGGACCTCTGCTTCCCTTTGGACCTCCATGTGCACCAGGGGCTGCAGAGAAATGTCTGCTCCAGCACTCAGAGTGCCTCTTTCCATTCCTTCTACACTTACCTTGGTGTCTGCAGAGCTGCTTCCCTCAGCCCGATTCCTCTCTCCTGGCTGCAGTTGCCATTGCACAGGGCTTTTTTCCCCCTTTGTTAAATACATTGTCTCAGAGATGCTGCCACCATCACTGGTGGGCTTGGCTTTGGCCAGTGGTGAGTCCCCCTTGGAGCTGGCTGGCATTGGATCTGCCAGACACGGTGGAAGCTTCTGGATAGTTCTGACAGAAAGCACCCCTGTGGAAGGAGCAGAAACCCTAACAAAACCTCATTGTAAAACTATCCCTTAGATAAGAAATTGGTTACTTAGAATGACTAATACTAGAAATATTCCCCCCCTTTGCAAACCCCCACTCTATCTCCCTGTGAAATAATTGATCAATTTTTCAATCCCCTAAGCAATTGGTCCCTTTTCTCTAAAATCCCTAAGTAGCTGGTCCATTTTACAATCACCTAAATAATTGATCCGTTTTCAAGACACCCTGACCCTACAACAGCCCCCACTAGTACCCTGTCCATTGGATTGCTGCCTTGGACCCCTTTGTGGAAGAAATAAAGTGTCTGCAGAATCTCCTTCCGGCTTTCTCGGTCTCCTTCCCCTGCTGGACAAAGGTACTGTGCAAGCGAGGCTGAAAACACAGTAAGAGCTGATAGCCTGGACTCCAGGCATTGCTTGCATCTTAATGCCTTGTGGCTGAAATGTGCCTGAGACTCCAGGAGAGGCTGTTCCTTCCTATCCGGGTACTTTGTGGCATTTAGGGGCCCGACCCCAAGCCCCAAAAGCTACACACCCCCATAGCTCCCAAAGCCTCACCCTGCAAACCCAACACACAGCTATGTAAAATATTGGCCAACTTTCTCTCTTGCTTACTTCAAGAGTCAAAAGCCAATAAGTGGTAGCTACAACTTTGAGAGTCCATATTGGTAAGAACACCTTGCAGTTAAGATTGCATGTACCAAAATGCCTATTTCATATCCTTTGGGAATTTTGACTGTGCCTTTCTGCACAGCCATGCATTTGGTCTCTTCTCTGGGGGCTTCAAGTAGAAGCTAGTGAGGTCTACAGACTCCTTGAGCCCGTTCTCTTGTGTGTGACCTGCGAGAATGGACCTCTTAGGTATTTGTTTGGAGTTTAGAATAATTTATTTTTTGCAAATGAAGATCTTCCAAAAACAGAGCAAAAATTAGTTCAGTATCCACACTGTTGTTGAATAAACAAAAACTAAATAAAGCAGACTTCAAATGCTATCCTTTCTTAAAATTAAAGGAACATCTGAATGGTTTTCCACATGTAAGATAATAGATACTTTGGCTGATTCAGACAAAAATGTTCTCTAGATATTAAGAGAGGAAATGATCTTTCATGTTGGCTTTTTAGTGAGTTTTGTTTTCTTCTCTTTTAACATATTTTGTAAGGAATTTCACTATAAAACTCAGAAGTAAACTCTGTATCACATGAGGATATGTAGAGCTCTTTACCCGAAAATGACATGGATTAACTTGCAGAACAAAATCTGGCAGTTTATGTGTAAAATAAATGGAGTTGTACAGTAAAGTTATTTTATGGAACTGTCGATAGCTGAGGACACAAGCTCTTGCAGCTCTGCTGAAGACCTTCAAGAATGAATCATAACTTCAAATTCCTCTTCCTAGCATTTAAGATCTAACTTACAGGCTGGAAATAATAACTGATTTCTGAGAGTTTTTCAGAAATTTTTTTGAAAATAAAAAATTCTCACATCCATTTGAAGTGTTTGGAAAATGAGTTTGAGCTCTGGTTCTCCAGAGTTATACAAGATCTATTGCTAAAAAGGAAATAAAAACACTTCAGAAGCTTCCTATTTCTCTTTAAAAAGTTTAATTTTAGGATTAAAATTCTAATAATATGCATGTGCAGCCTGTTTGCTGTCCTGGAACTTTGAACTGTGAAATTACATGCTTATGCAAATTTGAAAAGTAACCATATTTACATAGATTAGAAATATGCCCAGATAGATAAAGAAGTAAAAATTACTGTTAGGCATTATAAAAAATATTGGGAAAAAAAAGACTTTATGAATCCTGTACAAAAAAAAAAAAAAAAATACAATCAGGTCTAATACTCTTTTGGAGCACCAGCAATAATAGAGGTTTTCTTATTCAAATTCTTGTTTGAGTTTAGTGAGATTTTACTTATGCTCCCCAGATCGTTTTACTATAATGCCTCATTCTTCATTCATTTGTTATTTCAGTGGTTTACAGTTGTGAAAAAGAGCCACTTATTTTCCAGAATAATGAACATTTGAAATAGTGTGATGACAGCAGGGCACACTATAATCTGTTTCATATTTCACTGTTGAGCATTTTGTAGAGTCATTTACAAAGTGAGTTCAAATTGCATATAGACATTCTAATTTGTATCTGGCAGCAATTTAGACCTGTTTGCATAGATGTAAGTAACTTCACAACGTGCTAGCCAGTGAAGAAGTAAGCTCAGTACCTCCAACAGAGCCATTCATTTCTTGCTTTTATATGCATATCTATCACCTGTCCTTCAAACTAGTTTTTTTCCTCATAATTTTTAAGGATATATTTTTGTCGATATTTTCCAGAAAAGTAATTGGAGGGGTGCAGGAGGTCAGACAAGATTAATTCCTTGAAATGAGTGGAGATTTAGTAGTTTCCAGGCTGTTGTGGGGGACAGCTAGCAGGCATATGTCTACTAATATTGAAATGATAGCTGTTAAACCAGTGACCTTTAGAGCAACGAGAGAGGAAAAAACAGCACAATTACATTTAGGTGGGTGGATATGCACAGACCAAAAAGTTGATGCTGCAGACATCATATCCTACTGCAAATTTTGCATGGATTTTATTTCAGACTCGCCCTAGTTTGATCCCTTAGGCAGAGTGACTGCAGCAGGAGAATATTGGATACATTCCCGGTGCTTGTTTAGGTTCACCTTAAAGAAATCCAGGGCCTTGAGACCACTCCACAATACAAACCAACCATATTTGCTCTAGGTAGGAATGTTTGGGAGATTCACTGCAAAAGCATGAGCTGACCACACTGAAAGCTAATAGCTACAGCTACAACACAGCACATATCCTGCAGAGCTTTGCTGCATAAATTCACAGCCCCACTAGTTTTCAGTATAGCTACCCCAACCAAGCAACCTATAAGCAGAAATGTACATTGCCCATCTGAGTCTATGACTGCCAGAAATATGTTCCAGCAGCCAAAATAAACAATGTTTATGTTTATTTCACTGCACACTTCAGCCTCCTCAAACTTGTCACTTTCCAAAAAACATAGAACATTTTCTTGGAAACTTAGTACTCAACACTGTCACTTTTTTTTTCTTTTTTTTTTTCCTACGTATAATATTTTCTGTGAGGAAAAGATTGCAATGATGAAAGTATCAAATATAATTCCGCATAGCTCAGCATTAAAACATCACAAGTTATGTCTCTGGAGACTGTATTAAAATTCAGATTATTAAAAAATAATTAGGGAGGGTAGAATGACAGAGATGTCACTGATCTCATTGTAATTAATTCTGTAGAGTTCATGTTATGAACTTTCCCTTATTGATCTCAGAGCTAAAAAGATAAAAATCTAGAAGTCTTATGTAGTAACAGGCTTTAAAGCAGATGGAGATTTTTTTATTTTTAATACCAAATACCATTATTTTAACTATTAAATTGTGAAAAAATGACTTTTGTGTTGCTGGTGACTTATAACAGTAAACTGATGAATTTTTTTAGTCTAGTCCTTAGAATAATAGTGAGGACATTAAACAGTTAACACTGTACTGTCATGTATGGCTTTTAAACCTTCAGTCATGTGAAGTATTGAGCTGTATATGTAAAATTTCAGGTGAAAATCAGTAACTATTTTTATTTGTCTGAAAAAACTTCACTTTTGCGAAGAGGGAAAAGAGGGCAGTCTGTTGTGGTTAAGGGGTCTGAACGATTTGAAAAGCAATGCTTGATACACTGTAGATACTGCTGCTAAATGAGTTGAAAACAGAACATGAATGTCTATTTCCAAGTATTTAATAAGAAAGCACAGTAAATAATTTATCACTGTCTCTTTTGAAATCCTTTGGAACTATATTTAGTAAAAACCTTTACAGGTTGCACGGTAGCATTCAAAGGCTGAGCTATGTCTTCATGTAGACATCCATGTTTATCCATCCCACATGGTGGTCTATCAGGTTGTTTTCTGTCATTATCTTTGACTGTTTGATTCCAGGGTAGCACAATGTCATTGAGTCAGAACAGCAGCTGTTGATTCCTGCAAACATGCATCAGACAACCCAACTTATGCCATGTAGACTTACCCTGGAAGTCCTTGATAGTGTCTAGACAAATCAAGAAAATAAATTCCAGTGCAAGACTTCTTCTGTCAGATCAATTGTCACTTTATTCTATTTCTTTTGATTTCTCAGCTGCACACTGGACATACCACTCTTATGGGTGGCTGACAACTGGATCTCTTATGTTTTGAATACAATCTTTCCAAATCCATGGGACAATAACAACAGCAGCAACAAAGGTAAATGTAACTAGTCTATACTATTATTATCTTTTTTCTGTTCCACTCTATCCCAAGAAACAGTAGATCATCCAGTCTTCTTGTTTAACCTCAGCTGACAACTAAGCCCCACATAGCTGCTCACTCACTATACCCTGATGGGATGGTAGAGAGAATCAAAGGGGTGAAAGTGAGAAAACTTGTGTTGAGTAAAAAACAGTTTAATAGGAAAAGCAAAAACCATGCATGCAAGCATGGCAAAGCAAGGAGTTCATTCACCACTTCTCTTGGGCAGGAATCTCTAGGAAAACCAAACTCTACTACAGTAGACTTGGGTAGACAAATGCCAACACTTTGAATATTCTCCCATTCCTTCTTTTTTGGCCAGGTCTATATGCTGAGCACAGCACCATAAGATGCACCCTCAGTCTGCTTGCTGGTGATGTAGGGTGAGGATGGTCTTGGTTCTGTATAAGCACTTTTCAGAAGGAATTAAAAACATCCCAACAAGACCAAAGAAACCCCAAAACGTATCTCCATACCAGGTAACATGAAGAAAGTGAACTCTATTCCAGCTGAAACCATCACATGCAACACAGCTTTGACAAACTTTGCTTCCGTCTTCAATTCCAAAATATATTTTGGGATCTTATGCTAAATCAGCCTGCAAGGGGTTTTTTCCCTCAAATACTTTTTTATTTTGGGATGCAGAACAATGGGATCACTTCTTCCTGAGTCATCACCAATAATAAATTACCAGTACATTACCTTTTATCTTTCAGCTCACCACAGCTGGCCAGCTCTAGGTACATGGTGTGACTCTTGGGGCTGTCCTATATGGAGCCAGGAGCTGGACTTCAATGATTCTTGTTGGACCCTTCCAACTCAGGATATTCTATGATTCTACTGCCTCTCTGTCCAGGAAGTTTAAAAGTAATTACCTTCAGTTTCTTTTAAAATGCCCAGAATGCTGTCGGTGCTCTTCATCAAAACAAAAAATTTTAAATCTTGAGTCAAAATTATATGGCTACAAGAAATTGAGAATGAAATCACTATTTTCAGTGAACTCACTAGAGCTAGCCAGGATGTAAGTACCTGAATGTGTGGTGTCCTGGCTATGTCTTATGTCTTATGTTCCCAGAAATTAAGCAGATTAGGCATTAATTATTTGCATGTATGAACAATCAGTATGACAAGTTCTAGAGGGAAGCATAATATTTATTCCTAATTTTAATATATAAGATACAAGATAATCAGCATTAGTTTACAAAACTTTAGAATTATTTTAACGTACTTTAGTTATTTTAATTTATTTTTCAAGTCCGGATTAGAAGTGTGAGATAGAGAAAGGGAAAATTACAGACTTACTATGGGTTAGAACCCACTACCATGTGTTTTTGTGGGTGTTGCTGTAGATATGCAACCTGATTATAATGAGATATACATTATATGAGATATACATTTTCAAACCTATTTATAGGAACAAAGATAAATCTTGGAGGTATTTATAATGATATTCATGCCCATTGTTCAAAAGAATATCATAGTTTAAGTCCAGCTGGAAATTAAATACTACACAGCTGCTCAGCCAACCACCCCTCTCCAACCCAAAGCCCCATGGAATGGGGAGGAGAATCAAAGTAAAGCCAGTAGGTTGAGATAGAAAGAGTTTAATAATCAAAAATAAAGTAAAAAATACAGTAGTAGTGGTAAATTTTAATAATAAGCAGGAGAAAATCAGAGGATGCACAATATAATTGAGCAATGACACACCCTCCTTCCAAACCCAGACCACTCCCCTTACAGGTAACTCCCCCCATCTTTTATACTTGACATGACATTCTGTGGTGTGGAATATCCCTTTGGTCGGTTCTGGCTGTCCCAGTTCTGCTCCCTCCCAGTTTATGTTGTTTACGCGTTCACTGGCAAAGCATGTGAGAAAAAAAAAAGTCCCCAACTTAGAATAAATATGATTTAGCAAAAACCCAAATCATCCCTGTGTTAGCAAAACCATTCTCATTCCGAGTCCAAAACCACGACATTGTAACAGCTACTCATCAGAAATTAACTCTAAATTAGCTGAAACCAGGAAAAGGCATTATGGTCTGTTGCTGAGTGCAATTATATGCAAATGCCATGAAGAAAGATGTGTGAAATAAAAGTTTAAAATACAGTCCCTCAATAAACATGGTAATAAATAAAATGTGGCAAAGTTTGTGAATACTCAAAAGGTTAGCAGTGTTAAGTGTAATATATCACCTTCTTTACTTAGAGACTTTTAAATTCAATACTCTCCAATTTCTGCACTAAAGAGAGTGTTTATTGTTAATCCAGTGGGAATAATGGCTGGTTTAGGACAAGAAATGGGATTCAGTAGTATACGTTCATCTCTTTATTTTCAAAATCAAATTGGACATAATGAAAATTATGTTTTCTGTTATCATTGTTCAACTATTTGCTCTAAATTTTAGGGCATTTGGGGAAAACGTGGTGGCAAGGAAACCCAGCAAAAACACAAAGCTGGTTTTCTGCTTTGCTCTTCTAATCCATCTACAGATGCTAACAATTAGGTCATCATGAAAGTTCTTTTGGTATCCTTTCTGCTATTCTGAACACAACCTAGCTAATATACAATATTTAATTTATTGTATGTTATTGTGTTGATGAACATGCACGTATCATAATCTATTGAAATGCAAAACATCCTGAAACTTTCAATTAATTAATAAATTAGTCTGAGATGTAACAGTTAGAAAAATTCCTCATTACTGTATTTTCATTGTCTAATGTGTAAGACCAGCCTCTTCAATTCTGTGTTTATGTGCATACTTTTTTTATTGTATGTGAGTGATAACAAATTCAAAGGTTGATATTGCTACTTCAACCAACTCATTTCTCCAGCAGGACAAATAGGAGAACAAGCAGGAAATTATATACATTTTTCTACTTCACACTTGTTAGCATGCTAATAATGTAAAGTTGTCAGAGCTACCAGCATCTCATCTTACTAATGATTTCTTGTACCTTAGCCGGGACAAAAGGGATAAGGAGACAAGCTGAAACTCCAGTTTCCAAGGAGACCATTCTGGAAACATGTAAGAAATATTTAAGTAGGTACAATATGTCTCCAAGAACTTGAGATTTTTTCCTCACACAGTGACATTTATAAGCTATGTTGAAGAGGAATTTGTGCCCTCCAGACTCCATTCTGAAGCTGAGGTCTTGTGGTCAGTGTGGCTTGCCAACCAAATGGCTTGCACAGGAGAATGACGAGTTGCCTGGATTCCAGTAATGTTTCAGATGGTTATCAGGCACTGAGCAGAACTGTGTTCTCTGCACACTTACCTATCTGTCCAACTCTCTGTCTAGCTATCTGTGTGTTCATTTCGCTGTTTTTATTTATGGCCACAAGAAAGCACGTCTTCTTCATTTAAATTTCAGTAAGACATTCTGTGCTAAGATATACTGTGCATGAAAACAGAGCCAAAATGCAGAGGGAAGATGGAAAAATACTTGATGTTAATTGAGGAAACCAGACCTTAGGATTTTCTTTCGTCAACACAAAATGTTGCACATAAGGAGTTTTTTTTTAAAGTACTAGATGCTACTGCTTTTCCATTCATATGTTGTCATGAACATCTGTTGTTTCCTGCTAGACTATTTAACAGCTGATGTTGCAAAATATGTAGCTCTGTAATGAAAACTTCCTCAACTATCCCATACCAATGCTTTTTCCAACTTTTCCATGCTCGAGGGAGACATAAAGAGGGGGAGAGAAAATTTCCTTCTAATTATTCAGTGAATATGGAAAAAATAAATGGTGAAGGAGTGATATGCTTAATTCAGTTTTAAACAGCTGCATTGGCATCAGTGAGTTAGGGACCTTTGCATATCAGAACTCTGTTCTCACATAGTTCATATTAACAATGTTACTCTATTTACTTTTCCAATATGTAAATATTACAAGAATCAAATTGATGAAGCCTGTCTTTACTAGACCCCTCCAATTTTTTTTCATTTTTCAATCTGGATGTTGAAAACAACTGAGGTTAAACCACAACAGCCATCAATTAAGGACCAAACATCCACTTGCTCACTGCTTCCTGGTTGGATGTGGAGAGAATTGAAAAAAAAAGGTAAAACCTAACGGTCAGTGATAAAAAGAGTTTATTAATTAAAATTAAGTGAAATCTACTACTAGTACTAGTACTACTACTAATAATAATTATAATAATTAATAATAGTAGTAGTAATGAAAAGGAGAGAAAGATTACCAAACCCCAAGAAACTCAAGTGATACACAATGCAATGGCTCACCACCTGCCAATTCATGTCCAGCCTCTCCCTGAGAAGTGACAGCATCTTCCAGCCAATCTCCTCCAAATTATATATTGAGTGTGATGTTGTGTGTTATGGAATATCCCTTTGGCCTGTTTGGGTCAGCTGTCCTGGCCATGCTACCAATGGCTTCTTCTGCACCTGCTCACTGGCCAACCATGGGAAACTAAAACATCCTTGACTTAGACTAAGCACTATTTAGCAAAAACTATAACATTAGTGTTATCATAATTGTTCTTTTATTAAATCCAAAACACAACCCTGTTCTGGTTACTAATAAGAAAATAAAATCTGTCAGCTGAGATCCGGACAACAATGAAAAGGCTCTAACAGAAAAAAATCAATAACAAAAATCAAACCCAGAAAATGCCACTGATCAAAGAAAATCTCATTGAAGAAACAGGAAAAAAGACTGTATACTGTTAAAATCTATTCATTCCACAGAGCAAAACTCACAAAGCAAACTCCTACTTCCTAATTACCATCAATGTATGAGAGGAAGTATCTCCTTTTGCAGTACATGTATTATTTAAAAGATTCATTATGGCAACTGAAGCAGTGTTTAATTTTGATACTTTTCAAATGTAAGGGTGGATAAGACAGCATTTAAAGATTACTGTGTTTAATAAGTAAGAGATTAAATTTTAGCAAAATACGGTATCAAACAGGTCATTAGGCATTTAGTTGGCCGTGTTTGTTAGGGTTTTCTGGGAAATGGAAGATTAATTCCGCAAAGGAAGAAAATAAAAAAAAAAGAGGACCTAAAAATTGGGAGTTGCAGGAGCTCAGCTACTCATGAATAAGACTTGCAACAGTAAAATCATAGTTAAAATACCTGTGATTTCTCACCAGAAAAAAAGTATTAACTCATATTTCTTCGAATCACACAGGAATTATACAAAAGTTTTATTCGGTTTTATAACAAGGAAAT